ATATATTTATTCTCACAGGCACTGCCACATCGCGATCGGTACATACATACTCGCACTGCTCGTTCATGCAAGAAGTGAACACTCACTCTGTACGAGTGAATCACTAGCTACACCACCACCTACGCGTCCAGAAGTGTAATGGTGTTATACTGGGTTGGGTTGATGATTGGTGTGGAATTAACAAGTCAGGTATCAAGTAAAAGCTATAGGTTGTATGCGCTATATATATATATATATATACATACATACACATATCGAAACGCATATTGCAACTTGATGTTCGCAAGCCAGATCTCGACCACCATAATCTACAATAGCATGCGCAGATGAAGATAGATCTATGTTTCTCTGCGTGCAGCAGAAAAGGAATCACATACCCTGGAATTTATCGGACACCATATGACGTAATCGCTGGTAGTATACAACGCCGATGAAGATATCGACATCCAACTCCACCCCTGAAATACCACTGTACATCCGCTCTGAGCCTGTACTCGATCGGAGACAAGGAGCGTGCGCGAGGAATTTGCGACAGGTGTGTGAGAAATCGCAAATTGTGGAGAACGCACGAGCACGTACCGCGGCGCAGTTTGTACACTGCAACTGCCGTGTGTAATGGAAGAAGTTGAGATTCAACAGAGATCATCTGCGAATGGCAAAACGCAAGACAGATAGGACAACCACACATGACCGGCTGATTCTCCGGCTAGACTACTACACATGCACATAAGCGTAAGCAACAGTGTATCAATAGGCATAAGCATAAGCATTAGCATGAGCATAAGCATATCAATAGGCATACATACGAGTATAGTGCAGCAAATAGCGTTAGCGTGCGCATACCGAATGAGTGGAAGTACTGAATTCTGTATTACTATACATATTTTTCACCGGCTTAGGGCTTTACAGGTCTATTGCCATGTGTATGGCATGGGTTTAGAGATTATAGCTTAAGTGGTTCACAGGTCTATTGCCATGTGTATGGCATGGGTTTAGGGATTATAGCTTAAGTGGTTCACAGGTCTATTGCCAAATATACATAGCATGCACATACCGTGGTAGTTGTACCCAGCCTTCCTCAGTTGGTCGCCCATAAAATCGTACGCGGTGTTCTGTTCACTGAATTGGAACGGGGTCGAGTCATAGCACAGTCCGTGTGCCGCACCACTCTTGCCCGCCATACTCTCAATCAACATACCTGAGAGGCGAGTGTGTGGGTAGTATATGCAGGAGTGTGTGGGTTATATGCAAGTATGGGGGTATGTGTCAGTTTGAGATTTTACTATATATATATATATATATATATATATATATATATATATATGTAGTTAGTTTAGTTTA